TTTGTGTGGTCTCGCATTATCGTCAACCCCAATATTTTCTGCATATGGAATAACAATGTCATTGATTATGTGATTCCGATAAATTACGGCGTTAACAGTACCCCGTGAAATGTATAAGTCGGATCTATCGTTGTACATCACTCCGGCCCAAACATAAAACCCTCCTCCTCCAAAGGTTTCCTAAGAAGCCATGTTGTCTTCTTCAAATCGCTCCCCAGGTTGCCTCCATACTAACACCCTACCATCGGAGTGTATCAGGTTGAACCGCGATTCGTCGCAAAAGAAACACTTTCGCCACTCATGTAATGCCTTGATTAACAGAAAATGAAAGGAATAATTAGCTTATTCGCCTTTTAAATGAAGACTTAAGCTAAAGACGTGTAGCGCGAATATATTCGGTAAGCGGCAGTACTATAAATTACCTAAAACAGCTTTTTCGCCTGAACGGTCATGTCCGCTATGTGCACAGAGGTGGGGCCCCTAGGAAAATTGAGGGATGAGCAGCATGAACTCTATTAAGAGAGGTTCACAATAACCGAACTTCGTGCTCTAGTGTTTTGAATGATAGCCTAAGAAGGCACACTGGTATAGTGGCGTTTAACAGGGCCGTTAGAAAAACGCTAGCGCGAGCAAAATGTGTTCACCTTTTGCCAAATTATAGAAGACTTGGTGTCGAATGAGCCACCGATAAATTGGCATGGAATGACGAATATCGGAATTGTTTTTTTTTGTTGTGACGAGACGCGGTTCAACCTGATACACTCCGATAGTAGAGTGTTAGTATGGAGGCAACCTGCGGAGCAATTTGAAGAAGACAACATGGCTTCTCAGGAAACCTTTGGGGGAGGAGGGTTTAATGTTTAGGCCGGAGTGATATTCAACGATAGATCTGACTTATACATTTCACGGGGTACTGTTAACGCCGTAATTTATCGGAATCACATAATAAATGACATTGTTATTCCATATGCAGAAAATATTGAGGAGCATTCCATCATGGTTGACGATAATGCGAGACCACACAACGCAAGAATTGTTTAGGAGCTTTTGGGGGAGCATAACATGCAACAGTTACACCTGCCTCCAAAATTTCCTGATCTTGTGTGGTATCAGCTTAAGTTACTGGTACGATCGCGCGAAAATGCTCCCAAACGTTGGATGCGTTCGCACTTGCCATGGAAGAAGAGTGGCAAAATATCCCTCAGGCATTCATTAATCTCTTGGTTGACAACATGCCACGGCCGGCGATGCCAAGAGGTTCTGAATGTGAGGAGAAGGCTTACTAACTATAACTTTGATTATCTGCCGTTCTTTATTAATTTTTTTAGTTTACGTTGTTTATTACTCAACTTTTAGGTCACTTTGTTGTTGTTATTGAATCTTAGTTTGATTAGTTTTTTAGTTCACTTATTTTAATACTTTTTACCTAGGTATCTACCTAACTAACCTGAAAGTACTCCTTAACGCATTTAAAGTAGGGGAATTTCAGATGTTACCGGTTGACAACGGCGCGCGACGTTGTATGATTTGAATAAACATTTTCAAATAAATAACACGTGTCGATTCATTTTGTTATTTTTAGCTGTCAGTGGTCTTGATTATTTATTATCACATTCTGGTAAATTATAAGGAAAAAAAAAGGCATTGACAACATTGTCAGTCCTTGTTCTACGACGTTATCCTAAATATAACGTAAAAAACCTATAGGAACACTTTTTGTGTTTTGTTTTAAATCAACTTAAAGAAGCATTAACGTTATTCATATAATTTTTTGTTTGGCAGATAATGTAATTTGCCATCCTTAACTTTATTCTTTGATACTGCTACGATTAGTGGAAGAATTTTTAATTGAAATACCTTTAAACATGAAGCTACAAAGAAAATTAGCAGGTAATAAAAGTTCGGGTTTCCTCTCACCACAACGAAATCGGTTCCGAATATTTAAATTTTATCAGTGGTTTAAATAATTATTAGCACGCCACTGTACAGCATATCATTGAGGCATTCGAAATTTTTAATCATAAAAGTGAGAGATATAACAATTGTTAATAAAATTGATTTAATGAAAAATAATAATTTCTGTTTGCACGCCACTGTACAGCATATCATTGAGGTATTCGATATTTTTAATCACAGTAAATACGCTGGCTGAAAGGTATGACAATTGCTAAAAAAATTCACCGGTAAGAACGATTCGGGATGGTTTAGAACGAAAAAGTTGAGAAAATGAATATGGTTATGTTAAATAAACGATATTTTAAATACAAAGGCAAATATCAAAATTTTGAGAAAGTGGTTTCTTAATAATATGTAAATGATTAAAGTGAACTAAACAAATGAAACTTCAAATGATTATTTTTAAAATTATGCACCTTTGAATGTAAAATTCGGTGAGCCAATAATAAATAATTCCGAAAATGGGCGATTATTAGTACGCTACTGGACACCACATTATTTTAGTATTTTTTTTCAATGAAAATAAACCAGGATATCGTGGGGTATATCAAACAGCAGCATAAGATGCAAGATTTATTGTACAGGATGGTTCAGGTGCTTAAAAGTTGAAAAAAGTGGAGGTTATGAAAAAAAGTCGATATTTTTAAAACTAAGGCAGGTATAAAAAATTTGAGAAATTACTTTTTTTGCAGAAGATCATTGATTAAAACGCCGCATAGAAATAAAATTTAAAAAATTATCTGAGAAAGTTACACACATTCAAAATTGGAATGAAAATCATGGACTCTTTTAACACCCTGTATAAAAAAAAATTAGACATTTAAAAAAAATTCTAAATAGCAGTTTTTTTCACAAAAAGTCAATCTGTCAGCCCGTGAAAACCGCAGGTCGATATCTATTCTGGTTCCAAAAATATCGATCTTGAAAGTTAGGCGATATTTACCTTGTTCGAAAGCAATTGTCCAGCAGTTTATATCGTTATATCCAAATATACAACACTGCTGATTTTCATTATAAATTAACCATCAGATTACTAATTGCAATTAGGACGAGCCGTAACGGCTTGTCTATAAGTTACGAGTTTGGAGAGGTGTATGTGGAATAATTGACACGGAGCGATGCATTATTCGGCTTAGAAAATACAAAAGTAAATTCAAATAATTATAAACCCATACCTACCCTAAATAATTTTTTTTTGCTTGGTCAAAGATTAAAGAATTGTGATGTTTAGATTGTGAGTTGGATTGATTATAAAAGTGTCGAGAGAAATTTATTTTATGTGATATTATTAAACCATTAATCTCGGATGGATGTTTCAAAATTGAATTTGAAAATCTGAAACATATGCAAACACATTTTATAGCTGAGCTTTTTTTACTTTTGCCATTGAGTCATCCCGAAATTTATTCAGGGACATACCACCGGGAAAACTTGGGAAATTGAATTAAAAATTTGTGTTCAGTAAATTATCAAACTAAGGCTCGATTTATTCAGCTTCAGATAAACTTGCTGGTAACTATTTGCAAGATAAATTTAGTGTTCTAATTTTATTGGTCGGCGGATAACCGGCCGTCCAATGAGATAACAAATTGCGTTTTTATCCGTCAGATTGCATACCTGACAGTTTATCAGAAGATGAATGAACCAGCCCTGAGTATACAAAAGGTATCTACCACACTTAGAACAAATATTGAATCTAAGTATTTAAGTACACTAACACAATTATGTTTTACTTCGTCTCTGTTGCCAGAATGTGCACTTGAAATGAAATAGGTACGTCTCAGAAAGAACCTCGAGAAAACAAAAACTATTTCTTTCTCTGGTAATACTTAAACTGTAAGCGAAGCAAGTTAGCTAATGAATGAATTTCAAACTTTCAACGTTAAAGGACGAATAATATACACGAATTATTTTAATAATAATAACAGGGGCAATTTATAAATGAGGGCAGAGTGTCTCTGTGTGTATCAATGCCTGGTAAGTTACCCAATCATAATAAGCTATTTTTAATAACTGTTTCTCTAAGAACGTTTTTGGTTAACAAGGATTCAAAAAAAGTTTGAAGATTCCCAAGAAAATAATGATCAATAGGAAACTAGACAAAATGAATTGTAGCATTGTTCTCAAACTGTGTTTTTTCCAGATTTGATTTTCATTTAATCGGCAGAAAATTTGACCCTCTAGCAGTGCCGCTGCCGGGATTTCTAGCAAACTGGCAACGAAGAGCATGGTTTCCCATGCCGATATGTCTCCCAGCTCAGTTCTTTTCAGGGGGTTCTAGTATGCCACATAATTATTAAATTTGCTTTATAAAGAACAGATATTTCAACAATATGTATCTAAGATATCTTCTAAGGGAAAAACGGAAGAAGGTAATAGCAATAGACTGGAAGTATTCTAGATTTTGTTTTTTTTTTAATAGGAGAGGACTTCGCAAAAGCCTTATTTTGAATATTTTATCAATGGCGAGTGGATGAAATGTACCTAAGTGATATATGTGTCGGAATAGTATTACTATTACAATACCTAGGTACCTATTTAAACTATGTAAGTATTTGGTTTTACTTTCTTTATGATTAATTATTCAATTGCATGGGTCTGGACTCTACACAGAGGGGTGTTTTCGAATATAACTTGTAAAATTGTATTGCTTTAGGTACTACTTGAATCTTCCCGAAAGGACATTGTTTATCTTACCCAACTGTCTAGAAGTAATGTAATTTCATTCAAATCTAAATTCATTTATTAGTTTAACCTGTAGTATGCAGTTGGATAGGTACGCCTATGTCACACATTCGAAAATCATTTATTCAGTGGCAACGTTCAAAAATACATTAATCTAAATTTAGACCTCAAAGCCAATTCGCACTCTATCGATATTCCCTAAAACTTTTCCTGAAACTACACATAAAACTAAATAAAATAAATCTAAATCAAGACGAACTCGAGTACAGTCCTGCAGAAATGATTATCGTATATATAAGTGCGCGGACTATGATATCAATATTCGCTATCATTAGCTATCATTAGCTATCAGGCCAGTCTTTCGAAGTCTTTTATAAAATGTGTTTGAAAGTGCAAAACACTTCCGGATGACAGCTACGTAATTGGATATAGTGATGCTACTTAAAGTTATAATGGTTTTCTTATTCAGTCTTCCTTCCGATTCTTTTTCTAGTATTATGGCCGAATTTAATAACACCGACTTGAAATATAGTACATTTCCATTGGATAATTGCACATCAATGATTAAACCGGACTCTCAAACTTGCAAAGCATTGCAGGGAACTGGAAGAGACTCCTGCAAAATTTGCAATATCACTGGCTGTACCATACACGTAGCAGTTTTGTTCCCGGACAGCGAAAAGTATATTTTAAATCTCAACAGGGTAACTTACTTTTATTTTTCTATTAATCCTATCACAGCACGATAAACATTGTGTGGTTAAAGTTAAGTGTTATTTCAATGAATACAAAAGAGTGGATCTGATGACGTGTAGGGCCAGTACTGATCTGATCTGTTTATTTTTATTTGAATTGTTTGAAGTTGTTATTTTTATGTGCCTACCTGGATACAAGTGATTATGATGATTATTGAAAGTGATTTGTTGCTTAAGCTGTTTAATCGACGTATTCAAGTGATTTTTCAAAATTTTTTGTATGTAGGTACTCAAGGTAAGTTTTGTCTGTTGTCAAAACATGCATTTACCTAATGGAAAAATGTATCGTTGAATCAATTATATATTCAGAAGGGGAGAACCAAATGTCAAATAGATTTATCGATTCTTTTTTTTTGTAATAAAAATATGTCTACTTTATTATTATAATAGACATATTTTACAAAAAAAAATTGAATATTAAAAAAAAAAACACGAGCCGAATCCATAAATTAGATTCACTTTTTCACATATCTGAAACAAATATAATTTATTGTATCTTCTTCCCTTTGAAATGAAGAAATAGATTGAACCCTAATATAACCGTTGAATTGGCAGCTTTTTTGAGCATATTGGTGTTCAGAGCTGGGCAAATAGGTACACCTTAAAAGTATTTGAATATAAAATACACACAAGAATTATTGTACTTATAACATAACATTTACTACTCAGATACCCCTTTCAAGGGTCAAATACAACATAAAATTGAAATAATTATTTAAATATGTAGGTAATGACAGGCTGGTGCCCAAGAAGTTTTGAAAATGTTGTTTCGTAACTACTTGTGTATAGTGGGCCATGGACACGCCATGAATTTATTTTTCGATTTATCTATCTTTGTATGCCATTCAAGGTATAAATATCATTCATTCTTTTGATAACACGCTGTCGTGCGAAATTATTGATGCACTTGAGCAATCACCTCCGAATAATTGTCTTATACAGGGTGGTCAGCTTAAAAAGGAACACCGTAAGTTTCTTGTATCGGAATCTATCAGTTTTTTCGAAAATAAATCAAATTAAAAGCTATATGTTAAGAAGAAATTTTGTATTTTTCATTCGCTTTTTCCGGGGTGATGATTTAAATTTGCGAACCTTTGAATAAAAGACCCTGTATATTTGTTATATTTTTGGCTAGCCGTTGAAAAGACATCTTCAATATATCATAACATGGATCTGAGGTGCATGCATTTCATCAACCATCTAGCTTCAAAAAATCCCAATCTCGTTGTTTCCTCAGAAAAAAGTTTTTCTATTCTATTCTGCTTTTAAATGAGTATCGTATATGACAACTGGATATTACCCTCTATTTTTGTGTATTTCTAGATTTCCCTCGAAAAGACAATTTCATCGATTTATCATAACATGGGTCCGAAGTTCTTTATCTCGGACTTATTCATCATAATATATTTTTTAAATATCTCAAATTTAATATTCTGCATGAGTTGATCCATTGCTCACGATGTGTAACATCAGGTCTTTGACATTTTGACAATTAGTGCAAGGGCGCAAAGGGAATATCGGATATAACTCGAAATTTAGTTGGATACCAGGGCAAAAGATTATGACACTTGAATTTTCTCAGAATAAGTAAATGGAACGGAATTTGAAGAACTAAAATGCTTCAACCAATCTTTTTTGACGACATTAATTTGAATTCAAATCGCTATTTTGAAATCATAGAAAATCAGATCGAACGAGGCCTGGATAGAGTTATTCCAGTACAGACTAGATTAAATAAAGGTGCGCTGCAATCAGGGCATATTTTAATAATAATTGGTGAAAGGTGGCTTTTTTTTCTGGAATGCATGTAGCCCCGATCTGACATTTCTCGATTACTTTTCATGAGACACATTGATACAAATTGTATACTAGGAAAAATCTCAAAATGCGAATAAGGTCAAGGAAAAATTAACGCAGTAAGCCATTTGAATTTTTCGGATACCTACTGTATTGTTCCGCAACTGATAAAATTGAAAAACTGTTGATAAGTGTATCTCCTATAATACAAATAAGGCGCAGCTATTATTCCACACATCGTATAATTTGTGAAATCGATAAAATCATAACCATCCATATCTATTGAAAAAATTCACACAGAACTTACATTCTTCATATTGTTTAATAATAATTCATCTGCCGGAAAGGTCTCAAAAAGATCTATACATTCATGGTCTCCCAGGTGTAAGCAGGAATTATTAAGTAATTTCACTTTGGGTAAAAAATGACTCTTGAAAGGTTCCCCCTTCTTGATAGAGAAACGTAATCTCAGATTTTCTACACATAGGTACTCCATGATATAAAGTATTTTATCTACAACCGTGCTGTTGCAAAATATTCAGAAGAAGTTCAAAAAATTATGGAAAAAAAAATTGCGTCTTTGGCTTTTTGTCACCTTTGACATTGAACGAGTAGAAATTTGATGATAGGTAGATGATTATATCATTTTGTCAATATTTTGTACAGTGTGCGGTAATAATATTACAGCACGCGCACGCCGTGCGGTAATATGGTACTCACTGCCCGCAGAATCGTCCGATTTACGTCAGTAGACAATTTCTATTGTGAATAAATATCTGCAGGTATGATATACAATTTATCAGGTAATAAAGTTACTCGATATCGAAACCTGTCCTTAAGTAAATGAAATTTATTGTGATATTCTCACAAGGCTTAAAAGCGTTGCCTTGGGTATATAAGAAATAAGCACAGCTTAAATTTACTTTTCAAGTTTCAGCTAAGTTAGTTTTCAACAAATTAATGTTCAAAACTTTTAAAAAACAGTAAAGTAGGAAAGTTACAAACTTTTTATTGAAATATTATCATTAACTATCCGAATTAAATTTTAATAAAAATCCATTGGAAAACTATCCATTTTAATTTGACAAAGAAAATAATATACACCCTATTTGACTTATATTATTTAGGCAAGAAGTCTCACTATTGAATTTTCAGTTAGTCAGAAAGTAATTATCTCATTAGAAAATAGGGCCGTCATCATATTACATTATATTATTAAGTTACAGGTCTAAAATTAGCCAATTTCCTCAGGCCTTCATATTTACAAATTAATTTCAGAATGAACAGGGGCGTATATGAAAAAGTAGGGAAATATTTAAAACAAGTGCAAAAAAATTTGAAAAGCTGTATTACTGCTTCTTATGCAATTTATCTTCTCTCGAACATAAACCTCTTCCATTTTTGTCTTGACGTCGTTCTGTCCATCTGGTTCCAGTTTTCGCTTCTATCTTCTTGTTTCCTATTTTGTTTTCAATCTGGACGATGTTCACTACTTTGGTTCTTCTTCTTTTTTTCTTGTTTTACAATTTATCCCGCAGAATAATCTATGGTATATTTCACAGCAATCTTCCTCTGTATAGTTGTTAGCCAAAATGAACTTTTCTTGGTATTCTTATATCTATTGTACTGACCTTTGTGTTCATTAGTTAGCTATGGTTGGTTGTCAGGCAAGGTTATCACAACAGTAATATCTTTTTTTTGGAAGAAACAGTGTTGTCGGTTACTCCAAAATTGTTAGAATCAAAATAATGTGGCTATTCAAGCCAATGTTGCGTTGAGGACGTATAATTTCGGCTTGTTTAATTCAGGTAGGCTATTTTTATGATTTTTCATTGTTTCATGAATAAAGTTTTTGGGTTGACCAATGTAACAACTATTGTAGTCCTGGTAATTTTAGTTTTTCTATGTCTTGCGAGTTCCTAGAAATAATTCATGACGACCTAAGTAAACCCTGAAAATTGGGCAACCAGATATACACTTCTCATTTTTAGAGAATTGCAAAAAATCGAAAACCTCAAATATTTGGATTGTAGATAATCCATCAAAAAATGTTGATGTCAAATTTGGCCAATTCTAATGTGAGGTTTTCTTGTTCTCTTTGCAAACGAATTTGAGAAAATCAACACAGAACTGACAGATTTCATTGAATTGAATTGAATTAACGTCCCCTTAAAACCAGTCATTATCGATCAAATGACAAGATGGTTGTTAATGAGTAATGATCGTATATTTTTTGAAGCCCTTTATTCATTACCTACCCTGTTCTTCAATTTCCTAGAATTACTATTAGTAGGTGAGTAGTACACATGCAAAATTAGTTGAACAGGCAAAATTTATAATTACATCAATTTTGTCTTGAACCCGTCACTCGATTTCGATGTGATTTCGTTGTTTTTTTATGTGTTGTAGCTGGATTTTTTACTAATACATCTGATTTATTCGCGTCATAGAGAAAAAGTTAATGATTTTCGGAGTTTTTTGAGACATGCAGTTTTTAACACCAAATTATAACCTAATCTTAATCTTTTCTGAATATTTCCATTTTTGATTCACTCTATTTTCATTATTATTAAAAATAAAGATTTTCAACGAAAAGCTCGATATTTATTTCAATTTTTCCCACGGCAACACTATAAGATTGTATGTGAGACGTGTCGTTTTTCACCTTCAAAAATTGGGTGAAAATTTTTAATGCAAGTTGCACGATGGGCGATTTCCTCCTTTTGTGTTTTGGATCGATGTTCCTTAACTCCGGTCTCCGATATCCAGTCATATCTTTGTTTGTTCGATGTATATGCCTCTCCACACAATCGCAGAGTAGTTTGTGCCTACAGTTTTTGGTTTCCTTCTGATTTCCGGGTCTTGTTCTCATTAGTCCTTTGACGGATGGAATATTTAGTGTTGGCCACTGTTCTGCTTCTCTTGAAGTTCCTTATTTGGTCGTTTGCTTCTCCTCGTTGGACTTTTCGACCGACTCCCATGAGAAAAAAGTGCTCTCAGACGTGCTCGAAGCCTTTAACCTAAATCCTATTATTCTTTTTGACGTCACTCCTGATATCTACAACCAAGCTTCCTCGGTCCTTTATTATGACTTGTCAAATCATCCCAATTTTACAGCCAATATCGCTGACCATAAAGCTCAAATTATAACA